CCCTAACCACTAAGAGACTACAGACAGAAGCATATCACTTAGACATGTTAGGTGGTGTTTTCAACTCTGAGGTGAAGGCAGTGAGATCACTGAATTTCAATCCTTCTGAAGGCTATGGGATAACGATTAAAAATTTCTTGAGGATGAAGTGACACAACTGTAAAGGTGACATCTAAATCATTTAGCAATTCTATCCACCACACTCAAACCTACCTCTCTCAGAAAGAACCCAGAAAACCCAGCTGGAGTGAGAGAATGGAGGTGCAGTAGCAGCAATGAAATACACTTGGGCATAACAAGGAAAAGCAGAAGCTGATCTTCATAGCAATTGGCACATAAATGATGAAGAGATCTACGAAGTCAAGTCCAAGTTTCTTCAGTGATCATTCCAGGGCTGGTCAAACCAATCGTAGCCAAGGAAAGTATCCCAAAGCTGCAGTGACCAAAAGAAATAAAAATATGGCTTATGATTTCCCACATTTGGGGACCCAAATTAAACCTTATGTTTAAAAGGTTGAGAAGCAAGTAACAAACCACTGTGGTGGTCCACATATAAGAGGCACTGGGACTAAATTTATGTGACTTAGTATAAATGAGGTCCTTAATGGGAACTGAGACATTTTTGAGTGACCCTAAGAAAACTGTGAATAATACTCAGATGGCCCGGGAAAAGCAACCTAAATGTTTCAAAGATTAGAAAAGTCAGCTCTGGAAGGAGAGTCAAGAAATGTCAGGCAAGGGTAAATGGAACCTACTATCCCGTATAATAAATGCCTGGAAACAGCTCTGTTGAGAGGCCCACACTCTAAGAACAATGTTACCACTGATGTCAAATACATAGGCTCTTTCTGTAGAGATCTCAGCACTCTTGACGTTGGAAGCAGGATTTTCCACCTAAGAAAATTGTACACATTTCAGCAAACTCAATGCTGACTTGGAAAAAGTATTTCTTAGCCTGGCTCCCTTTTCTGAAAAATGTGTCAGCCTCACTTGGATATGTCCTGAGAGAAACTGCTGAAGAATAAAAGGAGTGGACTCACTCCACAGCGGCTCAGTCAATCCATACAACAGATAAAGAAGAAAAGTATCATTATTTGTGTTTCACATATGAATGCCAAATGATATTCAGAGAAGTTGAGCAACTGGGTCCCACCCTTAACACATTTCAGGGCAAAGCAACCCTTTTCTGTTTTCTGTTTTTCTATAATAGACCTGTACAAGGATTTAGGAGATAAATAAATTATTCAAACTAAGACCAAAGTGTTTCTTTTTTTTTTTTTCCTCAACATAACATATCTGATCTGACAGCACACTCTTGTCACTCTGCTCACAGCACCTTCATGGTGTAGATTAATATATCTTCTCTCTTCACAGTACCATCTTCCACCTTCTCTCGAAGGGCCTTGCCAGTCTTCTCCCCGTTTTGACAGAGGAATGCCGAGTTGACGTGACGGAAATCTACGTCAATAGCCACTTTGGTGGCCTCTCTAGACTTGCTCTTAGGAATCTATAAAATATGAATAAGGATTGTTTGCAATCCACCAAACTCAAAGAGAAGCCACTTATTTCCTGCATAGCGTTTTCACCAGCTGTTTCTCCACGTCTCCTGTTCTACTGTTTGATGGTGCATGCCTTGGTAACAAACCTGTCCTTGGGGGGCACAGACTTAACCCCAATATGACCTCTAATCTGTAATGAATTCATGAAATGGGCTTCAGCATGGAATACAGAAAATCAAGTATAAATAAATAAATAATTCGTTGTAAGGGAGTAACTAGCAGGAAAACATCTGACACTTTGAGAAAACTTTTACAGATACAGATGTAGAGAGATATAGTTAGTTATAGGTATAGATATTGATATAGATATAGATGTACATTCGCAGGATATAGATATAGATATCAGCATCTATGTTTAGCTTAGAATTGGAAATGAGTCAATAACACTAGTACATCCCCCATCCAGTTTCACCCAACTGAGCTCTTAAAGTCATTTATGATTGTTTTTTTATCCTTCATTCCCCAGGTGCTCTCATTCAACATTTATGCAACAAGCATTTATTAAGTGCCTTCTGTGTGACTGACATTATGCTAGATCCTAAAGGGATCTAGGGGATTTAACCATTAACAAAAGAAGACATGCTTAAAACTCCTAAAAGAAAGTGTAGCTGTAAGCTCCTTAATTTTGATGTTGGCAATCATATTTTGGATTTGACACCAAGCAATAGCAAAAGCAATAAATGCAAAAATAAACAGGCCAGGCTACATCTACATTAAAATAAAATGTTTCTGCAGAGTAAAGGAAACTATCAATAAAATTAAATGGCAACCTATGGAATGGGAGAAAATATTTGCTAATCACATATCTGATAAGGGGTTAATATTCTAAATATACAAGGAACCCATACAAATCAATAGCAGAAAGAATAAATGAACAACCCAATTTAAAAGTGGACAAAGGACCTGAAAAGACATTTTTCCAAAGAAGACATACAGATGGCCAATGGGCACCTAAGAAGATGCTCAACATCACCAACCATCAGGGAAATGCAAAGCAAGACCACAATGAGATATCACCTGCCACCTGTTAGGATGGCTATAACCAAAATTCAAGACATAACAAATACTAGCAAGGATGTGGATAAAAGGGAACACTTGTGCATTGTTGGTGGGAATGTAAATTGGTACAGACTCTGAGGAAAACAGTGTGGAGGTGCCTCAAGAAATTAAAAATAGAATTATCATAACATCCAGCAATGCCGCCTCTGGGTATTTTTCTAGAGGAAACAAAATCACTATCTCGAAGAGATATCTGTACTCCCATGTATGTATATATATACACACACACACAATGGAACGTTATTCAGCTTTGAACAAGAAGGGAAGCAAGTCATCTGCAACAATATAGATGAAGCTGGACGGTATTATAGTAAGTGAAATATGTCAGATAGAGAAAGACAAATACTGCTTGGTGAAATCTGAAAAAACATTCCAGTTCATAGAAAAAGAGAGTGGAAAAGTGGTTTCCAGGGGCTAGGGGTTGGGGGAAAAGAGGAGAGGCTGGTAAAACAGTACAAATTTTCATCTATAAAACAAGTAAAGTCTGAGGATATAATGTATAACCCAGTAACTATAGTTGATAACACTGTATTATATAATTAAAGACTGCTAAGAGAATGGAATTTAAATGTTCTCTCCAGAAAAAAAAAAAGATGAAAATATGAAGTGATGGATGTGTTAAACTTGATGAGGGGAATCATTTCACAATGTATACTTATACCAAATCATCATGTCATACACTTTAATCATCTCAGAATTTTATTTGTCAACTTTATCTTAATAAAGCTGAAAAACATTTTAAAAAACAAAGTGTGCCAATGGGATTAAAGGAAGAACAATTTTCAGAAAGGTGGTGAGGAGAATGAGATGGGAAATGTACTATACAGGGTCTGTTTTTGTGACAGACACAGTTGTCACTCTACCTATATCACCTTGGCACTCAACATATCCGTGTACACTGATCAAGACTTCCAATTGTGAGCACCTACAACTCTGCCTGGGGGATTTCTATGACAAGCAGAATCTTCAGGAGAAGCTCTCAATAATTAGGTAAAGAGGAAGTCTCGTCAACTGGATGCTACTTAGCCTCTACCTGACCACTCCAGTACTTACACAATGGGCCTGTGAATGGAATAGCCATGATGCAAGAGATTAAGACTGTGCATGGGCCAATTATATGGGCTATTTCTCCCCAACATAGTTTAACTTCCTACTGTTTTGAGATGGGTGACCTGTCAGCAGCAGCAGAGACTGACTCTGAGTCTTGGTAAAGTAGTGTTCCTTGAGGAGACAAGCCAGCTCCTGGGTGGCAATTTGACTACATTAAACTCTCTATCTAACTGGAGATGGAAGCAGAAATTCATCTTTATTGAGACTGATAACATTCTATATATGAATCGCCACCTCTTTTCACAGTCTCTTGAGACAACATTACTATATAGGGCTACAGAGAGCTGGATTTATCATTATAGGATCCCATGGGACTGCCTATTTATTCTATTCTCTGTGGTCCTTTTCTGTCTTTAACAATAGTAATAAAAGTTGGATATAACATACGTAAGACATACACTATGCTTAAGCTATAATGGTGTATACAATGGTAAATTATGTCACTGCAAGCAAACTGGTCCTGTCTGACAGCTATTAGCTATTGATATTTCATGCCATAGCTCTACCAAGAGGGAAGGTATTGCTCTTTGTAACTTAAGGGCACAATCCCTCCCAAACAACCCCAAAGCTTCCCCTACCTCACTGTGACCAGAGTTTGACACTACTACTGCATTGCAGTTGTGTGAAGAATACATTTGGTGAGAAGCACAATTCTGTCTCCATTGTTACTTTATGCCACCTAAGTCTTCTTTTCTAAATACCTAGCACTTGGAATAATAGTGGCTTCTCACGTGAAGAGAGGAAAGCTTTGGAAAATTGTGTGGCAAATACTTCAGGCCCTGAGCAACCCACAGAAAAGCTGCTACAAACTAGTCACGTTACTTGTCCTTCCCTCCTGTGCCCGGTGCCTGTCAGGAGTTTCTAACAAAGAGCAGAGTGACTCTGACTGAGGCAGCAGATGAGTGCAGGAAGAGCAGCCTAGATTTTACATGTGTAAGAAGTAAGAAGAAGAATAGTTTACCTAAGAGAGCTTTGAAGAACTAAAGGTAATACATGGAAATTACTTAAAATACGTGATAAGTATTCAATATATGTTAAATAACCAAAATAATAATAATGATAATCCACCCTCAAAATTGCCACCCTCTCTTTCCCCAGAGTCAACAACTTGTCATCCCATTTAGTGCAAAGTTAGAGATGGTGAAATGGAAGCTCAAATGAGTCCTTCCAAGTCACCCAAAGAGTACTAGACACGGGGGATCGGGGGCTGTCTGCTGACCACCCTTCAAGGCTATTTGCGTTCAACCCTCCAGTCCCCTGGGCTCCACTTACTTCATCTGAAGCAAAAATGCCAAATCCAAGCTCAGGCATAAAGTTCCCATCATTCAGTGTCACAGAACAACTATGGTTGAGGACCCTCACTGTCCACAGTCCTGGATAACCTGACTCTGTCTTTCCTTCCTTTCCCCAACTGTGAGCCGAGTAGAAGACAAGGCTCCAGCATTCTTTATTTGTATTAACCACAACAAGATCAGTGGGGCTGGGATTGCAGAGGCCAAAGATTCCAAAAAGGATTTAGAATCAAGCCACTAACTGTCTTATAATTCTTTCAGGTCTCTGCAGGCATATCTTACAGGATAGCATGCAGAAACGTCATGCAAACTACAGGAGTTTGAATTTACTTTTCAGTATTGTTCATCCTTGACTCTTAAGTTAAAAAATAAAATTAACCATGTCAATTTGTCCTTGATAATTATGTCAGACTTACTTTACAAGATGCAAAATAATCAGTAGACTGGTCGTTTCTAAACACTAATTCCACTATAGGACTTTAGTTAAATACCTCACCCTTCATTTTATCAAAAAGACTTTCAGAATTTCTTGAACAAAGACTAACTCCTGCTCCCAAGCATACATATGACAAAACGCCCTAGGAGTGCTCACCCTTAATTCCACTATCTTTTTCCCTGTATCAAGAACTTGTTTCTCCTTCTCATTTTTCTATCTTGATTCTTTGAATCTTTTTGGCAATAAAAAACTGTTCTGAGATCTAGGATGGATTTTTGTAGCTGTGCATTAGTTTCAGCTGCTGGCTCTACCTGGCATAGCCTCCTCCATTGCCCCTTGTTTCCATCAGCCTTATGAACTTACCCTAAGAGCACGTGTCCTGCTCCCATCCTTTATGACTCCTACCAGTGATTCCTTCCTTTGTTTATTCAGAACCTAATACTCAGAGTGCAGTGTGCCTGGGGCAGAGGTTAAAACAGGGAATGGTCAGACAATATCCCAAGGCATCACGGATGTTAAAATTCCTTAAAAAGAAGAAGCAGGGAAAGCCTTATAGAAGATGCCTGGTGGGCATCATGGGATGTTTACAAGGAATAACATAAGCTAGTCAAAGTCTTTAAAAAGGAATCCCAAATACCAGTCTACAAATTAGCCACATTTATTTCTACTCTAAGGCTCTTACAAAAGTTCAGATTCCTGTGCCTACCTGGGGATTTACAAGGAAATAACCATGGAGTTGACCCTGGCTACTCATAGGAAAGAAGACCTATGTGTGGATTTGGCTCCAGCGTGGGCTTGGACTGGAGGAGATACAGGTGTAAGGAGATACCAGGAGAACCAATTTCACCACCACTGAGGACTCCTTGAGCAAGCCAGGATCTTGGTCAGGAGCTGCACCTCTAGTTTGTCTCCAATCTGGAAGGTTTCATTACAAATAGTATGACTGTGGCTATCAGGCATTAACGTCCTCCCTCTATAACAGGCTGGTCCCACATGTGCAAAGTACAACCAGGGACTTCCAGGATGTTGTGAAATTGCATGGGTTGTGGGAAGGAAAGGCATCTGGTGAAGACTGGAAACAGGATGTAAATCCTGGGATGCTTAGCAACTTCTGCCTTCACTGGACCCAGACACTTAGAGGGAAGGACAGAAGGGACCCAAGCTCCAGTGTTGAAAAGAGATTTTTAACATATTGAGTTATGTGGTAGCTATTCTGGTTCAACACTGTTTTGGTTTGAGCTAAAGAGGCCTAACTTATGGCCTATCAAACATATATTGTACATCTGCTTTAACCATTAAAGTAAAGAGTCCATTAAATGTTATCTCAAAGGAAAAGTACACACTCACTGAAGATAAGAATGCATACTTCCACCTCCTATGCCCAGCAGTATGGGTAATACTCATATTAGTACTCCTGAGGATAAGTTCCCTTTCCTGGACCTGCGAATTTGCAACTGAAAACCTTTTTGAAACTTTGAATATGTGTCCTGGACATGTTTAATGCATGTTCTTTGTCCTAAAAAGGTATAAAACTGTATCGAAAACCATGCTTCTCCTGAAGGCTTTCTTTTTTCCTGGAAACTAAATTCCTGGTTTACAATTCTCAGCTTTGCTCAAGCAAAACTCACCTTATCTCTCATCTATAGAATGGTTATTGTTTACTTTGTATCAACAGTGTGCTGCCCCTTTGGGGAGACTAGGGAAGTTGCTGACTTATAAAATGAGCCCTGTGTCACAGAGGGCCCTGGCCAGACAGTCCTCTATTAATACAATGACCAGTTAGAATCCTCCAACCTCCCAAAGTTCACTGGAGAAACTGGCTGGTCCACTGGGGCTTGTGCTTGACCAGTCCGGATTAATTGGAGTTGATGGGGATTCAGACTTTCCCCAGTTTATACAATCAGGCTGAACGAGGAAACTGTATGTCAAGAGACCTCAGGATTTCCCAGTCCTACAGGAGAGGGAGAATAAGAGGACATCCTGAAGTTATATGTACATATTGTCTGTGTTCACCAGTCAATAACTGTTTGATTTCTCCTCACTCATTCCCAATAAGTGAACTGCCAGTGGGCAGAGAACAGGAAATATTTGCTGAGCAAAGGGTATATGGACATGGTTTAAAAAATAAATAAAGTCATGTTCCAGGGGTACTTGCCCATAGGAAGTGACCTGTTTTGTTTAATGAATTATCTGGGGGAGAGTGGGGTCATATGGTGTTCTGTGGGAAGAAAAATAGAGTACATTTGACTTTGACAGAGGCTTATGGGTATAGGGTGGAGGGCTGAGGGGCTGTTCAGGCCAAAGGTCAAATTGCATTGCTTTGGAAAAGTAAGGAAATGATGGAGGCTGTACGGGAGGAGGGATGGAAGGGAGGGAGGGTGGAGAGCAGGTATGAGGCACTATTGTTTCCCTGGGAGGAATTTGAGGGAAAAAACAGAGATGTCTAAGCAGATACTTATGAAGTTTGAATTATGGTGTTTGATGAAATTCATAACCCATGGAATTTGAGATAAAATCCGCTTCACTCACTACTGTGTCAGACAGGTTCTGTCTGAAGAACAAAATGGTACCTGAATGTGACCTCAAGACGAGTGAAGGAAAAGCTAGGGCTCTTTCTGAAATCACTCTTTCTACTGCATCATTTTTTATTTTAAAATGAACCAATATTATTGTAAAACTCTTAGAATCCACTGGGGCTTCTGCTCTCAGAAGATGACTCAGCAATTTCCACAGATTGTGAAACTCCTGGCTGGTGCATAGTGCAGGGAGTTAGGTGCATAGTACAGGGAGTTGTAAAGAGAAAATTATTAACTTCTATGATTGATTTTATTAGGATACAACCAGGTCAAAAAAAATGTATCTCAAATTGGCTTAAACCCCACAGAAATGTGTTACCCCCATAACAGGGAGTCATGAGGAAGGGCCAATGCTGAGTGGGCAATAAGAGGTCCAGGTCTTCTATGATATTCTCTTGGCTCTTCCTTCTTCTGTGTATTGGCATCATCCTTAGGCTCAGTGAAGACAGTGCAGCAATTTCAGACCTCACATCTCAACAGCACACATCCAGCCAAAGGAAAGTGGCCAGCTCTTTTAAGAAGTGAAGGAAATTCTCTTAGAAACCACCCAGCACAGTTTCTTTCATGTGTCATTGGGCCGGATTGGGTCACAGTCCTCTTCCAAAGGTGACATGTCAAGGTCAATGGAGTGAACATGAGTGACCTAATCAAAACATTTGGAGTACAATGGGTGTTGGAAAGGCAAACAACTTTACCACTGAAATCACAGTGAGAACCTGATGATATTTAGATTAGATGTTTCAGACCTCGACCAAATTAGAACTACTTGGTGAGCCTATAAAACATAAGGAAGCCTAGGCTTTACTACAGTCAAACAAATAAGAATCTCCAATGAACCTCAGGTCCTAGCTTCAAATAAAAGGATCCACATTAATAAAAGCAGAGACATTGTCTTTGTTGTAGAAACATATGTCTTGTATGATTGGTATAAGGGCAGATTAAGAGGTGAAAGAGCCAGGAGGTCTCACCCTGAAGCAAATCTCTTTAAAGGACAAACGTAGAGAGAATGAGTGGAGTCTGATTTAGTTTAAATTTAATTTATTACTGAACCTAATTTGAATATGTGCCTTTCTGTGGGAACTGAAAAGATGAAAGGGGAAAAAGAGACTCAGTGACTACAATTTATGATAAATCAAGACCTTGATAGATTGAAGTGTAGTAGAAACCACAGAGTAAGAGAATTGATTGGAGTGGATTGTATTAAAAGTTAAGATTTCAGAGCTGAAGCATTTGTAAGAGGTAAACATGGGAGTAGTGATTCGTGTAGTGTGTGTACAAGTAGAAACTCTCAGGACTGAGGATATCAAAGCACGGAGAATCTTGAATTGTCTCCAAGAACAAGGTTGGTGTCAACATATCCTGGGAAGGAATTATAAACAAAGACCATGAAGAGAGTGTATGGAGAACTGGGCAAGATAATAGAGTCAAGATGATGTCAGCCTTAAAAAAATAGTTACGTACTTCTCTCTTTCTAAGTAAATTAACATCACCGTTGTAAAAGGCTATTGTCTAACCTTTCCATGTTCTAACCTTTGTTCCAGTCACACTCCATTCTGAGTATTAGATTCCAGTCCAATTGTCAGTTTTCAGTCCTCATCTTATTTGTCCTATTTGTAACATTTGACTCTTCTCCTTGAAACAACTCCTTCATTTGCCTTCCAAGACAGAACAATCTCCTGCTTTCCCTTGGCCCTCACTAGCTCTTCCTTCTCAGTCTCCTTTGCTTGTTCCTCCACTTTATAAACAATTTTTTTTTTAATTTTTTGTTTATTGCAGTAACATTGGTTTATAACATTGTAAACATTTCAGGTGTACCTCATTGTACTTCTATTTCTGCATAGATTACATCATGTTCACCACCAAAATACTAATTACAACCCATCACCACACACATGTACCGAATTATCCCTTTCACCCGCCTCCCTCCCCCTTCCCCTCTGGTAACCACCAATCCAATCTCTGTCTCTATGTGTTTGTTGTTGTTATTATCTACTACTTAATGAGGGAAATCATACGGTATTTGACCTTCT